GAAAAGCACAGTCTCAGGTGGAAAAGCACAGTGACTCAGATGGAAAAGAACAGTGTCTCAGGTGGAAAAGCACAGTCACAGGTGGAAAAGCACAGTGTCTCAGGTGGAAAAGCACAGTCACAGGTGGAAAAGCACAGTGTCTCAGGTGGAAAAGCACAGTCACAGGTGGAAAAGCACAGTCTCAGGTGGAAAAGCATAGTCACAGGTGGAAAAGCACAGTTACAGGTGGAAAAGCAGTGTCTCATGTGGAAAAGCACAGTCTCAGGTGGAAAAGCACAGTCACAGGTGGAAAAGCACAGTGTCTCAGGTGGAAAAGCACAGTCACATGTGGAAAAGCACAGTTACAGGTGGAAAAGCAGTCTCACAGTGTCTCAGGTGTCTCAGGTGGAAAAGCACAGTCTCAGGTGGAAAAGCACAGTTACAGGTGGAAAAGCAGTCTCAGGTGGAAAAGCACAGTTACAGGTGGAAAAGCAGTCTCAGGTGGAAAAGCACAGTTACAGGTGGAAAAGCAGTCTCAGGTGGAAAAGCACAGTTACAGGTGGAAAAGCAGTCTCAGGTGGAAAAGCACAGTTACAGGTGGAAAAGCAGTCTCAGGTGGAAAAGCACAGTTACAGGTGGAAAAGCAGTCTCAGGTGGAAAAGCACAGTTACAGGTGGAAAAGCAGTCTCAGGTGGAAAAGCACAGTTACAGGTGGAAAAGCAGTCTCAGGTGGAAAAGCACAGTTACAGGTGGAAAAGCAGTCTCAGGTGGAAAAGCACAGTTACAGGTGGAAAAGCAGTCTCAGGTGGAAAAGCACAGTTACAGGTGGAAAAGCAGTCTCAGGTGGAAAAGCACAGTTACAGGTGGAAAAGCAGTCTCAGGTGGAAAAGCACAGTTACAGGTGGAAAAGCAGTCTCAGGTGGAAAAGCACAGTTACAGGTGGAAAAGCAGTCTCAGGTGGAAAAGCACAGTTACAGGTGGAAAAGCAGTCTCAGGTGGAAAAGCACAGTTACAGGTGGAAAAGCAGTCTCAGGTGGAAAAGCACAGTTACAGGTGGAAAAGCAGTCTCAGGTGGAAAAGCACAGTTACAGGTGGAAAAGCAGTCTCAGGTGGAAAAGCACAGTTACAGGTGGAAAAGCAGTCTCAGGTGGAAAAGCACAGTTACAGGTGGAAAAGCAGTCTCAGGTGGAAAAGCACAGTTACAGGTGGAAAAGCAGTCTCAGGTGGAAAAGCACAGTTACAGGTGGAAAAGCAGTCTCAGGTGGAAAAGCACAGTTACAGGTGGAAAAGCAGTCTCAGGTGGAAAAGCACAGTTACAGGTGGAAAAGCAGTCTCAGGTGGAAAAGCACAGTTACAGGTGGAAAAGCAGTCTCAGGTGGAAAAGCACAGTTACAGGTGGAAAAGCAGTCTCAGGTGGAAAAGCACAGTTACAGGTGGAAAAGCAGTCTCAGGTGGAAAAGCACAGTTACAGGTGGAAAAGCAGTCTCAGGTGGAAAAGCACAGTTACAGGTGGAAAAGCAGTCTCAGGTGGAAAAGCACAGTTACAGGTGGAAAAGCAGTCTCAGGTGGAAAAGCACAGTTACAGGTGGAAAAGCAGTCTCAGGTGGAAAAGCACAGTTACAGGTGGAAAAGCAGTCTCAGGTGGAAAAGCACAGTTACAGGTGGAAAAGCAGTCTCAGGTGGAAAAGCACAGTTACAGGTGGAAAAGCAGTCTCAGGTGGAAAAGCACAGTTACAGGTGGAAAAGCAGTCTCAGGTGGAAAAGCACAGTTACAGGTGGAAAAGCAGTCTCAGGTGGAAAAGCACAGTTACAGGTGGAAAAGCAGTCTCAGGTGGAAAAGCACAGTTACAGGTGGAAAAGCAGTCTCAGGTGGAAAAGCACAGTTACAGGTGGAAAAGCAGTCTCAGGTGGAAAAGCACAGTTACAGGTGGAAAAGCAGTCTCAGGTGGAAAAGCACAGTTACAGGTGGAAAAGCAGTCTCAGGTGGAAAAGCACAGTTACAGGTGGAAAAGCAGTCTCAGGTGGAAAAGCACAGTTACAGGTGGAAAAGCAGTCTCAGGTGGAAAAGCACAGTTACAGGTGGAAAAGCAGTCTCAGGTGGAAAAGCACAGTTACAGGTGGAAAAGCAGTCTCAGGTGGAAAAGCACAGTTACAGGTGGAAAAGCAGTCTCAGGTGGAAAAGCACAGTTACAGGTGGAAAAGCAGTCTCAGGTGGAAAAGCACAGTTACAGGTGGAAAAGCAGTCTCAGGTGGAAAAGCACAGTTACAGGTGGAAAAGCAGTCTCAGGTGGAAAAGCACAGTTACAGGTGGAAAAGCAGTCTCAGGTGGAAAAGCACAGTTACAGGTGGAAAAGCAGTCTCAGGTGGAAAAGCACAGTTACAGGTGGAAAAGCAGTCTCAGGTGGAAAAGCACAGTTACAGGTGGAAAAGCAGTCTCAGGTGGAAAAGCACAGTTACAGGTGGAAAAGCAGTCTCAGGTGGAAAAGCACAGTTACAGGTGGAAAAGCAGTCTCAGGTGGAAAAGCACAGTTACAGGTGGAAAAGCAGTCTCAGGTGGAAAAGCACAGTTACAGGTGGAAAAGCAGTCTCAGGTGGAAAAGCACAGTTACAGGTGGAAAAGCAGTCTCAGGTGGAAAAGCACAGTTACAGGTGGAAAAGCAGTCTCAGGTGGAAAAGCACAGTCTCAGGGGGAAAAGCAGTGTCTCAGGGGGAAAAGCACAGTCACAGGTGGAAAAGCACAGTGTCTCAGGTGGAAAAGGTGTGTTTTTGTAAGGCAGGTGGTATGACATCATTGCTTTATTCCTAATGGGTGCAAACATGCGCACAAAGCATCACGTCTCAGAAGCTAAATCAAGTACTAGATTGTTTCCCCTCAGAAAGATGAGATGCCTGATAACTCTGGCATGGGCTTAATATCAACTCAAACTGTAAATCAGCCAAAGAAGAGCTTTGTATCAGAATGCAGATAACGCTGCAACACCAGCCGTGTATTTACTACAGTGACACGCGTCACTCGTCTCCAACACATGGGAAGCGACCCGTGAGACCCGCCCCTTTATCCCTTCCAGCCAATCCGCTTCGCCGACACATGCTCGCTCTCGACCAATCAGTGTCGCCGGCTCACTCGCATCCTCCCCAACAGACCCAAAGAAGCTTAAACAGAGTTAAGATGGCGGCATGTGGATGAGAAGGTTGTACATTTCAGCTCTTCGGCGAAGAAAACACACGTTCTCAAACCTAACCCGAGAAGACAAGAGAAAAGCCCCCCGCGAAATCATTTCCCCGGCACCGAGCCCATGACGTCCATTCACTTCGTGGTTCACCCGTTACCCGGGACCGAAGACCAGCTTAATGACAGGTATTTATTTATAGGAAAGAAGCGGTGTGCGATCAGTATTGTGGTGAAAGTGCATTCAGAGATTGTCAATGCAATATCTGGAGTATTTTACGGCTGCTGCAAACGCTCAAGGTTGGACATTTGGGTCTAAAAATAACGAGGCCCGGCTGACTGGAGACACAATGCGGGTTGGGGGATGGGGAGGTGAAAAGAGAGGGAACTGCGATAAATGTATGCCTTTACACATCAAATATAGACTTTTATATTAACCCTACGATGTACCTATTACACTGAACTCGTGTTTTGTATGATACGCCGAATGAATGCGAGGAGAATTGCTGAATACAAATCCTCTCAGGTTAGCCGGTTAGCCTTTAGCTCTGCGCGAGCTCATCCGTTTAAACTATTTATCCTCATAAAGTTGGTGGAAATTACATTACAGCTAGTGTGTTTGGACGTCTGGGTTGTTCCAAATCGAGGGTTGAGCAGCTAGTTTGAACAGTTGTCTTATAAGCGATCTTTTGAACTGAAAGAAGATTTGCGATGTGTTGAGTTTAACGTTATTCTTTCGTGGATCTCGAGCAGTTGGGTGCTTGTTCATTTCTTCTTCTTCTTTCACGACGTAAAAATCCAATTCCGAAAGCTGTGGTTATTACCATTGTCTCAGTGGCGTTACATTTCTTGAAATGTTGAGAAACTATGTTTAGTCTGCTTGGCTAGTCAGAATGAGTGCAGATAGTTGGTGATTGTTGTGTCTGATGACAGCTGCGTGAGGAATCCAGGGCCAGTCGCTGAAAGCATCCTTGCACAAAATGGGTGTCTCTTTGCTGGCTTCTCATGTTGTTTATTATGAGGTTTTAAAGCTGTGTGTTGGGTTTTACCCACCATCAAAGAAAGGGTAACAGATAAATCATCCCATATATATTTAGTTTTCTTTTTCCTTATGACACTAGGGGTGTGCGATATTGACAAAGTGATATCGCGATATTTTATGGGATTTTATCGATAACGATAATTAGACGATATTTTGCTGAGTGTGTTATTGTGCTGGTACCTTAAGGACTGCCGAAGACAGCTGACTCCTAATGTTTTTAATATTCTGTGTGGTGGTCAGTTCATACTGATAGAAATTTTAGCATTTTATGGGCATTTTTACCTTTTATAAAGCCGATTTGGGCTATTACCAAGCAAATGAAATCAACACAGAAGCTGCATCTGAAGTGGCATTTAGATGTATTTACACACATGTATTTTGTTTAATGCAAGACATGAACGCATTTAACCTGCAATTACAAATGCATAAATAATGTTTTGATATATTAAACATAGAACGTTGAATACTGATATTTGAAATAATTGAAAACATGAAAAAAATCAAAAAGAAAGAAAAAGCCGAAATTTGAAATGAAAGGGGTCACATGATGCGATTTCAATTGTTCTTTCTCTTTGGAGTGTTACAAGCTCTTGGTGCATAAAGAAGATCTGTAAAGTTGCAAAGACTCACACTAAATGCGCACGCGCACTAGTCTAGACTTCACGTAATGTATGCGTGCGCTCTGTAGGGATGTTTTGAATGGTTTTTGCAAAATACTCGATAATGTCAAATCGCACATCGTTAAAACAACAATTACGATATTATCGCAGACGATATATATCGCACACCCCTATATGACACTAGAATAAAGAAATGTTGATTATAAACATTATAAATATATATGCACTGTATATGCATTATGAGTACTTAACACTAATAATATGCTGCAACTTTTATTTTTTTCATCTAAAATAGTTACACATTTATTTTCATCTTTGTTTTAGACTTTATCTAATGTTTAATATTAAAATTCAGTGTTTCCATAACGTTTTAGTATATCAAAATTCCTTAAAATGCTTTTGTTATCAGTTTTGTTAATATATAGCCTAATTGCTTTGAGAGCAGTCTCAAACCTTATATATGTATGTGTATGTGTGTGTATGTATATATATATATATATATGTATGTTTATTATAATCATTACAAATATATCAAATATATATGCATTGTGTACTTAATACCAATATTCTGCTGCAAATTCTTTTGTTTGCCATCACATTTATTTAATCTTTGTTTTGGACTGTATCTAATGTTTAATATTAAAATTCAGTGTTTTCGCACCTGATTTTGTAAGACTATGGTGCGTGGACCTGGGGAAATTTTGTGCATTTTTAAATTAAATGCATCTAGTGCATTTTGAGAGATTAAAATTAAGAGCTACAATCCCTTTTCAATTACCAAATGGAAAAAAAGAAAGTAAAAAGTCCTTGCATTGACTCATACCTGGACTTTAAATTGGACTGAAACATATTTTTTGGTCGTTATAGTGTCCTGCATTCACACGGGTGTTTAGGAAAACAAACCGTTTGAAAATAATTGTACTTAATATTATCCCTAAGATAGTAATAAATTACAATCCTTTTTCTTTATCTTTTCCCCCCCTAACCCCTTTTTTTGGGGGGGGGGGGGTGTTTCTAATCTGTTAGAGATGTTGTAAATTTGTAATTGCTGCATGTTGCGTTCCTAAGTGCATGTTAAACTCTAGAGATTGAGTTTGCTGCGTTTACTGTGAACTAGGGCTGCACGATAAATCGCATGCGATATTTAATGCGCATCTTGTCAGAAAGCACGCAGGTGATGGAGATTTACCGCTGATTACAGAACCGGCTTTACTGATAAAATGCACGTTAAATATCGCATGCGATTTATCGTGCAGCCCTACTGTGAACCAAAGACCAGATCATGAGCTGCTCACGTGAACACAGTGCCACGCTTCGCTTTAAAACATGCAGCGCAACAGACGACATAGTTCAAACTGCTTTGCCAAATTGTTTTTTGTTTTTTTTTAGATTATGTATACGTTGGGGGGTGTAATGAGATTTTTTTTTTAGTGCTGTTCTTTAGTGTAAATAGTGCCATTTAGGCAATTGATAGTACAGATAATAAAGAATCTTAAGCCATTTATGTAAATACTTCATGGAAATGTTACATTATAAAATTAAAATGTGTTGTGAAAAGTTTGTCACTTTATGCAACAAAAGGAAATGCTTTCCAACAAAGGAAAAAACATGTCTTGCATCGAGACTAAATGCAATTTTGAGGCATTTTGTTTGGATGCTTAGTGCCCTACACGTTATCACGTTCTTTAATTTCTCACCACTATGGCTAGCTTGTCCTGTTTATTACTATTTGGCATCCCCAGGCCGATTTATATACTTGCACTAGTCATTAACATTTCAGCGTGTGCATGGAGACCTCCATACTTCATTGTCCACTGATATGTCCTGCAATAATGAGCCGTGACTTGAAGGCTTTTCTGCTGCGCTGACAGGAAATGAGGGACCTTTCTGCACACGTGTCCCCTTCATGCTAGATTCAGCATGATCTCAGTCGCTTAGACTGCTGCTGTGCAAGGATATTATCTGTGCACATTGCAGTACGATGTCGCCGATCTTGGGCTTTTTAGTCTGTACGATAACGTGCATGCACTGAAAAACTTGTGTATGCATGTGTATTGTTGCTTTGGCAATATTATATGTAAAAATAATTGCTTTATGCCCAATTTATGGCAATATAATATGCTGTGCCATGTATTGTGGGAGAACATAGTCATGTTGATTTTTTTTTTTAAAAAGTACTTTGGCAAAGGTTTTTGCAGGAGCTGCTTTCAGGACTTTACTCTTGTTTTCATACCGAGTTCATCTACAGAGGTCATTTACAGAGAGGAGCTGCTCAGTGCTTCAGTATTGATTGCATTGAAATGATATGAGAATCTGAAGACCTTACTGATAGGTTTAGATGACTATGTAATAATTTGACTGTAATTTGAAAAGTGACTTATCGTTTGTAAACATCATGGTGTTTGTGTTGTAAATGTGTTCAGAAGCTGTCTCCATTGCTTATCCATTGTTCAGATGATGCTGTAGGCATGTTGCTGTACTAGTGTGCCAAGTATGCCAAGCTAAACATTGGCTCTGTTCCAAAACCTAGGGAGCTGCCTACTAAGTGAGCTTCCTAACTGAAGCCTCATAAGGGAATTATTTGGAATGCACTACATAGGCAGCAACTCTGTCTTCTAAATCATATAAATGCTATACACGCAGTGTATGGTGCTTTGAAATGCTGCCTATGTAGGCAGCGTACTAGGTTTTGGTATGCATCCAGTTTTACAGTTTTACAGCTGGTTTATGACACACTTTTTGTCCAAGAAGACCTTGAAGGACTAAAGTTGGCCAACATCTGAGAGAAACCTTTTTTCTTCAGCCAGTTTGGACCCGTTTGCACACTGCCATAATTTAACGTCTTTCTTCATATGTCGCTGTCTGCTGTGCATATGTATTTACTCATATGAAAGCTACAGCACACAACACGGCCTTCCAAGTGTGTTCTTTGTCCATGGTGCACTCATACCCAAGGTTTCATTGTGGAAATTGTATGCATTTGTTTTTATGTCTGACTGGTTTGCCTAAAATCTCTTTATTTTCATACAGAGTCATTGGTTTTATAGGTTCTTGCGGGTGGAATAACAAAATCATTTGTAATAGATTTCCAGCAGAGCCTTTGTCCATTTTTTTTCTTCACTGTGGCTCATACTACATTCATCTTATTTTATTATTACTTGAGTTTTATGATTGTTGTTTCCTCATAAACTCATGAACTTCTCTTTCAAGGCATGATTATTTATAGGGGATGGATGCATTGTTTGAGATTCTTACTGGAGATAAAATATGCTTTGTTTTTATGCCTGTACCTATTTTAAAGGGATAGTTGACCCAAAAATGAAAATTAGCTCATGATATACTCACCCCCAGGGCATCCTAAGCGTATCTGACATTCCTCTTTCAGACAAACACAATCGCAGTTATATTTAAAATGGTCCCTTTAAGGAATCATAAATCAGTGTTGATCGATAATGGATTTTGCAAATAAACAATTTAATTTGATGATACATTCTAAAATCTTTATATTAAGTGAAAAACATTACAAATGTTGATGACTTAGGAGTCATGTGTTTGTGGACTGATGGATTCAGTTCTGTTTTTGAAATCGCATTATGGGTGTATATTAAACATGACAGGAATCAGTCTCATTCCCTTTTTATATATGTATCATTTACATTGTAAAGGTTAAATTGACCCACAAGGCCACTTGGCTTCCTCCGACCATGAGGCATGATCTGTTCCTCAGTTTTCCTTCCGTCTCCTACAGTTTTCCTCTATTCAAACCGTAATAGTCATTCTCTCTCAATTTTGTCCTGCCAAGGTTTTTGCCAGTTTCGGTTCAGAGGTGTTGGCTGTTGCTCAAGCCAGTATAAATGATGATTCTCTGCTTTCAGCTGTGCCTTTGATAATGTGGCAAGAACATTATTATTTTAGGCATTGTATAATCCTATTTTCTGTGAACATTGAATCGGTTTTGTTAGCCCAATGCATCACATGCCTTTGATGTTTCTTACAGGCTCCGTGAAGTGTCGGAAAAGCTCAACAAATACAACTGTAACAGGTATGTTTTACCAAGCATTTGCATTTTAAGCCCAGTGGTTTTAGAGTTCTTTCCACATCAATGAAGTATTGAGTTTTGTGAAAACACTTGGCTAACATTTCTCTGTCCGCACGGCAGTCATCCACACCTTATTCCATTGGAGCAGGCCAAACTTAAGCAGTGTGTGGTTGGACCAAATCATGCTGGATTTCTCCTTGAGGTAACATTTATTATGCAGCACTGTTACTTTATATCATGCATTGCTTAAGGCTTTTTCTTAGACCTGAAGTGTTTTTTTTTTAAAATGTGGGTCATTGTATTTTAAAGCAATAATTTACTTTAAATATGAATATTATGCCTTTTTTGCTCTTATCCATTACATTTACATTTATGCAATTGGCAGACCTTTTTATCCAAAGTGACTTGCATTGAATTCAGTGTAATTTCCATAAAATCTGAAGTTCACAGTGACCATTTCTCCGGCTTTAGAAGGTCCCTTTTTGAATTTTATTAGGTTTATCAGGTTCACTATGAACTGTTGTATATTAAAGAGCAATGCACATTTTCGATTTCTGCTTTTTTGTTGCAATGAAAAAAAAAAAAAAGCATATGTGTCCCTGGAGCACAAAAGCAGTCTTAAGTCGCTGGGGGATATTTGTAGCAATAGTCAACAATACATTGTATGGGTCAAAATTAAAGATTTTTCTTTTATTCCAAAAATCATTAGGATATTTAGTAAAGATCATGTTCCATGAAGATATTTTGTAAATTTCCTACCGTAAATATATCAAAACTTAATTTTTGATTAGTAATATGCATTGCTAAGAACTTCATTTGAACAACTTTAAAGATGATTTTCTCAATATTTAGATTTTTTTGCACGCTCAGATTCCAGATTTTCAAATAGTTGTATCTCGACCAAATATTGTCCTATCCTAACAAACCATACATCAATGGAAAGCTTATTTATTCAGATGATGTATAAATCTCAATTTTGAAAAATTGACACTTAAGACTAGTTTTGTGGTCCAGGGTCACATATGTTAGTAATGACACAAGAATGAATATATAATGACCTTTTTTTTTTTTGTCTAGTTAACACCGAGCAATGCAGAAATGATACGTTCTTTTGTTTCAGGATGGACGTATCTGCAGGATAAGCTTTGCTGTCCAGCCCGACCGACTGGAGCTCGGCAAGCCCGATGGCAATGATGGGTGAGAAATTAATACCCCTGATATATGCATGGAAAATTCATGTATGAGCTGGCATGCAAAATAACTAGATATGCCCCTTCTGGTTATGATTGCTCTGGGTTTATGTATTAAACTTGTCTTAATTCTGTTTTAAGTGTGCTGACTTTTCACCGGCATAACCCACCTTATACCTGATTAAAGTTGTGTTGTGGGACTTGGTGTGAAGAAATCTTGTGTTAGTGTAGCATAAATACACTCAAATATGAACACTATATATGATGCAGTTATTATACCATAAATGTAGCCTTACAGTTGCATGGAAAAAAAATGCACTTATATTCTTAGTGATGGAAGGGAGGGAATTTAATGAAGTGCTTGAGATGGAAGCAACTCGGAACATTTTATAAAGGTGTGGCCAGCTTTTGTTGTCTGGTTTTATCAGCAGTGCTGTTTTATTACTGAAATGGTGAAAACCAAATACACATGCAAGCATGTTACAACACTAGCTTATAAACACTTTAATATTTGGTGGTACAGAAAATTAATTTAAGACAAAATATTTTACAACCCTTAGAATTCAAAGATTCTGAGTACAGAGAGCATTTATTGAAAATCAACTGCAAAAAGGACCTGTTATGCTCATGATGACTGCTTTGAAGTGGTTTGTTTGTGCATTTTTGCTTGAACTGAGCAAGGGGGCTAGTGCTTCTTTTCGTGTTGTTTTTGGGATCAAAGCCATGTCGCAACAGTGCAGATCTCCTTTTGTGAACCGCAAGCAATCCACCGTGTTTGTTTATGACCAAAATATTTAGCGGGCATGATGGCACATGATTTAGGGGAAATCTTTAGCAGTTCCCTGCCAGCCTTTCCTACAGCTCTTGCCTGAGGAATGAGCTGCAGTCAGTTCTGATTCCCAAGGGTGTTGCCATGTTGGTCGCCCCATGGTACAAGAGGCCGATTGGCTCGTAGGCTTGGGCTCTCCAGGCTCTGTGATGGCAAAACTATAGTTTTGTAACTGATCTCCCATCTTTTGTTTCCAGTTCAAAGTTGAGCAGTGTCTCAGGGGCAGGAAGGAGCTCCAGGCCAGGCAGGACTAGTGATCCGCCCTGGTTCCTGTCTGGTTCTGACACACTGGGCAGACTGGCAGGCAACACCCTTGGGTAAGTTGTGGCAGGGATATCAGAAATGCAGCCATCAGGTAATGTTGGCAGGCACACATGCAGTGCTGCCTTTGGTTATAAGAAACCTTTTTAAAGACGATTTTGCTGTTTTGTTTTTCCCACCTGAAAGTATTCACACTACAAGCCCATTTCCAGAAACGTGTTTATTATATGTAGGAGACGCTCAGTTACTAAGAAATTAAACTCAAATTCCATGTTTTTCTGAAGTGTGCTTGTTAGAGCTGTGCAATATATCTAAAAAAAAAAAAATGGTATTGACTAGATTCAATAATTATTATAGTATAATAATAATAATAGCAAAATATTGTGTATGTAAATAAATGAAATCTGTCTTTATGAAAAATATTTAATCATTTTCATATGAACCAATATAAAAATGCATTGTAATAAACAGCAATGTTTATTTTTGTATTATATAGTTATATTAATTTTATAATAATAGATATATAATCTCTGTGTTTGTAATGAAATGCAAAATGGCTACTTTTTTTTTTTTAGTAGATTAAGTTTAGATTTAAAAAGTTTAATGTAAAATATATTTTCCACAGTTTTTCACTAAATGAATATAAGGAATAATGCATAATTTCCATTTATATAAACCAGTATAAATATACATAGTAGTAAACGGCAATAGTTATATAATTGTTATTATATATAATGACTACGTCCCCTTGGAATTATAAGGTTCTATCTGACATTTTTGTCAAAATGTAGTTATTTACATATACTTATTCTGTGACAACTTGTTTACATTGTGATAGATTGTTTAATGTTGTGTACATTTTGGGACTTTTTATTTAAAAAACAAAAGGTTCTATCTACACAGTCGAATGGAATGCAAAAAATTTGAAGCTCAATATCTCAAAACTACTCGGAATGCAGATAGAACCATATAATTCCAAGGGGACTGTGTGTGTGTGTGTGTGTGTGTGTGGAAAAATATATATATATTTACATATATGAATGAAAAATTTGCATTTGAGTGACCATGCTAATGAATTAAATCATTTTTAAACTGATTCACAGAATTAAACTTAAACACTTTTTAATTTTTTTTTATTATGCACTGAAGTTTAAATTAGAGACTATTAAATATCCATCTAATTCTCTTATATTCACAAGACGAGGAATGTGAGGTGAAGAAGTGGGCTGTTGGAGTTTAATATCAGATGCAGAGAGAATCTTGTTGGCCTTTATACTGATCCTGATTGTCGCTGTGCCTGACAGGAGCCGCTGGAGTTCAGGAGTAAATGGTGGCAGCAGTGGAGGTGGAGGCAGCAGTGGCGGAGGCGCAGGAGGAGGCAGCGGGAGTGGAGGGGGTGCTGGAGGAGGCGCTGGAGGAGGAGGATCTTCAGGCCGGTCCTCCACAGCAGCCCGTGATTCACGCAGACAGACCCGCGTGATCCGCACTGGCAGAGATCGAGGCTCCGGCCTGCTGGGCAGTCAGCCACAGCCCGTAATTCCAGCCTCCGTCATCCCAGAGGAGCTCATCTCTCAGGTAACGCTTGCTTCAGGGGCCTCTTCCACATTCCTGGCTTTTACTGTTTAAGTTGGATGTGCTTGCCATAGCTCTGCTTTAGGGCTGCCAATAATGACTATTTTTATTTATGATTAATCTATCGACTAATTTATCGATTAATCTAAATGATTAATTTCAACAATTTTAAAGAACATATTATTAAATTTGCAACTTTGCCATTCAGTAGTGTACCATTAAAAAAAAGTATAAATGTAAACAAGCCATTGACGAAATGTAAAACTAAAAGAGTAAAAATGTAAAAATCTAATAAAAAGAAAATAATTACAAAAGTCTGAGAAAGTTAGCATGTTCTTAATGTCAATATATCCACATGTTCTGGGCTTCTGTTCATTACAGCTGTGAGTGCAACTACAAAGGGGAAAACATTTTTCAATTAACCCCAACAGTTGGGTTTTCACATAAAATAAATGCAATGTTTAGAGTCCACTAGGATCAAGTATTACAATTGTATTAAGTTATTATTATTAAAAATTGTAAGTATTAAAAGTACTCTTAGAAATGTGTAAACGACAGATTTAAACAGACATCTCCAGCATGATGAAACTTCAGGACTTCAGTAGTGACACTCCAAATTAAATCCAAATTTCTATGAAATCCTTTTTTTAACAGCGCAAGAAGCAAGTGTCCATCTCGTAGTCCAAATCACTGAAATCAAAGTTCAGTATTATAGTGTAAGAAT